GAAGGGCCAAGGTCATCAAGAGATGGAGGGCGACCTCCGCAAGAGGCTGGTCCAGACGAAAACCTGGGCGAAATGGGCGCCTGGGTTGGTGGCGGCCATCAAGATGTCCCTCAAGGAGCTGGTCAAAAGGCTCGAAGAGCGGAAGGAAGAGAAAGCCATGGAGGCAGGGGAGCTCAAGAAGATGACCCTGGAGAAGTGGAAGCAGCACGTGGGGCGGGGGCACACTCCGTTCAATCGACGGTGCCGCATCTGTATGCAGGAGGCTGGAGTGGATCGGCAGCACCGGAGGTTGAAGGCGGACATTCCGTCCTATGTCCTCAACGTGGACATCGCTGGGCCATTTTCGACAGGGGAGGACGTCGGAACAAGCAGAAAGGTGAAGTATGTGCTGATTGGGACGGTCCCGATCCCAATTGGAGCTGGGGACAAGGAGCCTTCGGAAGCGGCCGAGCCGGAGGAGGAGGACCCGAATCCAGCAGATTGGGAAGAGGAGGAGGATCAACCCCGTGCATCAGACGAGGAGGCCAAGAGGCTCAACGACAAGGTTAAGGACGAGATGGCCGACGCTATGAAGGGCGTCGCGGTGCAGAACGTCACGATGGCGGAGGTGATGGAATCCAGGAGCGCCAGAGAGAGGTCATTAGAGCCATCAGCCTGATCTTTGTGAAGTATCGCAGCCTGGGCATCCCGCTGTACCGCATGCATTGCGATCGGGCGAAGGAGTTCCTGGCAAGGCCGGTGCAGCAGTGGTGTTTGGAGCACAATCTGTTGCTCACAATGACAGCGGGCGATGATCACGCGGCCAATGGACGAGTAGAGACGGAGGTCAACCAGGTGAAAAGAAGGCTGCGAGTGGTCCTCAAGGACTCAGGGGCTCCGGTGAAGCTGTGGCCTACGGCACTACGGCATGTGGTGCCTCAAAGGAACCAGATGCAGCTCCAGATCAAAATCATGGAGCTTTAAGGAAGCACTGGCGGAGGAGCTCAAGGTGATCCCCATGGATGAGATCACAGGGAATGGTCAAGGAGCAGCGATGGAGTTCCTCCTGGGTGGCCTCAACCAGCTGGAGGATGACCTGGTGATCATGCAGGACCGGGAGAACAAGGACTTCCACAAGCTGGCAGGACTGCAGGGAGCAGATGGAGAAGAACCGGCGAAGGTTCTGCAAACCTACACGGTGCCGTTGCAGGAAGTGCGGAAGGATCTGGAAGCATGGAGAGAGGCCATGATGGACGAGTATCGCTCTCTGGTGAACACAGAGGTGGTCAAGCCCATCGACGAGTGCGATCTGGCGGCGGTTCCGGGGATTGAAGACGCCGAGTACGCCCCGGGGAAGCTGGTCACGACCATCAAGGCCCCGACAGGAAGAAAGAGGGCGAGGGCAGTGATATGTGGCAATTTGCTGGCGGACGGCAACGGCAAGGTGGCGCGGACCTCGGCTGACAAGGCCGAGAACTATGCCGGGGGCATCGACGGGACGGCTCTGCGGTGTGTTCTGAGAAAGGGAGCCCACGAACAGTGGTCCTTGGCAACCGTGGATGTGAAGTGTGCCTTCCTGCTGGCGCCCCGGAAGGAGACCCGGCGAACCCTCATCACAAGGCCCCCGAAGGTTTTGGTGGAGGCTGGGATCGTCAAGGCGTCGGAGCGGTGGTTGGTTCAAGGAGCCATGTATGGCTTGGACACCAGTCCAGCAGATTGGTCAGCGTTCCGAGATCAAGGGCTAGCGGGCTTCACCTGGCAGGATCGGGGGAGGACCTATGGCTTGGAACGGACGCCGGAAACCAGTGTATGGTCTATGGTGGAGTTTGAGGCCGGGGCTCGCAAGGACCCCAAGCCCTGCGGCTACTTGGTGATCTACGTGGATGACTTTTTGGCGGTGGGACCTACTTCCTTGGTGGAGAATGTCATCAAGAGGATCAATCAGGAGTGGGTTTGCAGCGCGCCGGAGTGGGTGAACAAAGCAGGATGGACGAAGTTCTGCGGAATGGAGCTGAAGTGGGACGAGGACGGTGAGACTCTCCGGGTAGCACAACCCTCGTACATCTCGGAGCTGATGCAGCGGCACGAGGTGGTGATGGCTAAACCGGCACCGTTCTACAAGCCGGAGGTGCCTGAGAATCCGGTGATCACGCAAGATGGCATCCGGGAGGCGCAAGGACTGGTTGGAGAATTGCTATGGGTGTCGGTGCGCACCAGGCCGGATGTGGCATTCGGGGTTTCCTGGATGTCGCAACATGTCACCCGGTGCCCTTTGGAAGTCGTGAAGGCGGGGAAGGACATGATGGCCTACCTTTACGGCACGAAGGACTTGGGACTGGTCTATGGGCGCTGCCTGGGAGACCGAGGAGCAGAAGGAGATCTTCCTTTCGCGAGATCGATGAGGCGGCTGGAAATGTATGCGGACATCTCTTTTGCGCCGCAGGGAGAGAAGAGCCACCAGGGAGTTTTGGGATTCTATGGTGGTGCCCTCGTCCAGTGGGAATCGGGTCGACAGCCTTTTTGCACCCTCAGCACGGCAGAGGCGGAGTTGGTGGGCTACATCGAGGCCATGATCATGGGAGACTCCCTTTGTGCAATCCTGGACATCACCGAGGGAGGATGCTGGAGCGCCAAGGAGGCGGAGCGGGTGATCTACGGGGACAACACGGCGGCCTTGGCCATCGTGCAAAGCCCTTCGGGACCGTGGCGCACACGGCATTTGCGCCTTCGATCCAACGTGCTGCGTGAACGAGTGCGAGAAGGGGAATGGCAGATCAGACATTTGCCGGGTAGCGGGTTGGTGGCTGACTACCTCACGAAGGCGGTCGCGGCGAGGACACAGTGGCTTCGATTCTACTCCATGGCGGGCATGATCAAGGATGAGTCGGAGGTGGTTTCGCGGCCAGGATCAGGAGAAGCAGACGGTGGTCGGGTCATTGGCAAGGAGGCAGCGGTGAAGGTCGCTGCGATGAGTGGGTTGATGGGCCTCATCGCCTGCTGGAAGCCTCAGGATCGGGGATCACGCCTGATCCGGGACGTCTGCTTGGCCTCCCTTGGAGTGGGTGTAGGATTCGTGCTGAAAGGCCAATGGGCCCAACCCAAGAGGGAAACAAGATCGGCTAGGGAAGATGAACCAGCCGCACGTGAGGACAGCCCAATGAGGGTTGCAAAGATGGTCAGGGAAGATGAACCGACCGCAGTTGAGGACCCCTTTGTGACATCAAGATGGGCTAGGGAAAATGAACCAGCCCCGAGGGTTAAACCGGTGGATCTTTGCCGCAGGCCATTTTACCACTGCCCTACGGGCTGCCCTGCATCAGTAGGTAAGGGTCAGGTGCCGATCGGGGCACCGGGTGAGCCATGGCCTGAGCCTCCGGGTGGTCCAGATCGTGGGTCACTGGATGAGGAGCCCGAGGACTTTTGGGAGGTGACGTGTGAGCGGGCCTTCATCGTGGCGACCCGCATCCACATGCTGAGGAGACACCGGGACTTTCAACCGAATCCCAGGAACATGCCGCCGGGGGTCAACGCTACGATGCTGGAGGGTCGGCGACAGACAAATTTGGTCTTCGTCGACATCAGACGCGGGCGGCGGGTGATCAATGACAACTGGAGGACGGATGTTTTTCGCGAAGCAGATGCCTGGACGGGGTCTACGACGTTTGTGGCTCCTTTGCGGGGCAATGTGGGTTTGAGGGACTTGGGGATCACTTCACTGCCGGGTGAACGTGAACGAAGCCGCAGTCCGAGGGATGACAACAACCCGGATGACGCGGGACCAGCCCGTCCCAGGATTGGGAACACCCACGTCAGGGCCCCACAGGAGCGAGAAGTTCGACCACGGCTACGAGCTTTGAGGTGGTTGAAGAAGCCATCTTCCGAGGAGAAGATTGAGGAGAAGAAGATTGAGGAGAAGAAGATTGAGGAGGAGAAGAAGTCAGAAGATCCAGAGGAAGAGGCGCATCAGGGTGGACCAGCACTCCCTTGGGAGCTCGACCAGTACAAGGTTCCCCCGATGCTCGAACAAGAACAAGGATGAATGGGATTGGTCCCAGCCGGGATGGGCAATCCGCGCACATGGAAAACCTCGGAAGCGCAAGTTCCACCCGATCCACAGGGAGTTCCCGCTGGATGCAGCGGTGTTGGAATCGAGGAGGATCACGGTGAAGCTGCGCACGGGCACGTCGCCGTTAGGGATTCGGTCCGTGGTGGAGGACAGCTGGACGGCTCATCAAGAGCGACAGAGGACTTCGCCGATGCAACCATGGCGGGGGTACACCTTCTTCCGGATCAAGATCGGGAAGGAGCGGAATTCTGGCGGAAGATCCACAAGGAATTGTGCGAGGGCTTCAACGAGCGTGGATCCAAGGGCAACTGGGTCTGGTGGCGGAGAGGTTCACCATGGCTATGCTCGAGGCAGCTCGGAGAAGCGGGGTAAGGACGCGGGGCCGGTCTTGACGTTCCCGGAGACGGAGACTTTTGAAGACCGTAGGCCTCGAGGAGTTTTTCGAGACGAGGAATCCGATAAGAGGGCCTCGTCTTCGGACTCATCCAATTGGGATGTGGTCTGATGTGGCGAATGCCACAGGGGGAGTGTGAAGAGAGCACTCAAATTTCGTGAGCATGGACGACCAACTGCAACGTTGGCTCAAGACGCATCGGAAAAGGGTGCGCGCTAGTTTTTACCCCAACATAACCGTAGTTCCAAACCAACCTGCAGTCAAAAACAACGTGCAGCCCATTGGTTCTGCAGGTCATTATTTGGACCGTTTCCTGGGGGTTATCCAAACAAGAACTTAGGGCTGTTTCCCTTTAACCTACCACTTAGCTTGCTGGTGCGATAGGCAGGGAATGTTCTTCCGGGTGTTGGGAATGAGACCTGAAAGGACACCTTTTTTTTTGTTTTGCTTCGGGGGCATTCCATTTCTCAGAGACCCCTGAGAGCTATGCGGAGGGGGACTTTGGTCATGAAACACTGGAACAAGCGGTTTCTGTGAGCATGGAACCCCAGCCATTGAGAGGCGGCAGCTTCCGTGGAAGCATTGCAGAAGGCCACCAGTCAGGCACGCGTTTCGTTTTGTTTTTTGGGAGGATGTGAGAGGTGGTCAAACCACCAGGAGAAACCCACATAGCGCACGTCCCCGGAAGTAAAGAGAATGACGAAACCCGAATGAAGACCAAAGGGGTAGATGAAGGCTAGGCTAGTCCCAACCAGAAATCGCCGCGGATATCCGCTGTTTTGATTCTTGACCATGGGTTTTGAGTCCATGTGTATACAGCCGCTGCGCCGTAACCGAAATCGGTCGGTCGAGGCCCAGCTGGGCTCAATTTTCTTAGCGTCCAGTCTATGTGTTGTGTTGTGCGTTGTGCGCGTTGTGTGTGTGTGTGTGTGTTGTGTTGTGTTGTGTTGTGTTGTGTTGTGTCGTGTCGTGTCGTGTCGTGTCGTGTCGTGTCGTGTTGTGTTGCGTTGCGGTGCAGTGCGGTGCGGTGGTGTGTGTGTGTGTGGTGTGTGTTCCAAGGCGGAATTCCTTAGCAGGCAACTGCTTCTCCTTGTCTTAATCTGCCAGCTTGTAACGTTGGTTTTGCAGGCTGTCCTCCAAGTTCCTGGGCCCTTGGCGCACTTCGCATCACGTCCAACAACCCACACATGCCTTGCCAATCGGGGGACATTTTGCGCTGAGAAATTCAGGGGCTGAGCTTCGTAGCGAGAATGGGCTTTTCGGCTGTCAGGGGCCTCTCCGCTGAGAAATTCAGGCTCTGTGAAATGCTTCGTCTGTGGTCAAGCGGATTCAAGCAGCATCGCATGAGTCCCCCTTTCTACTATAAGGATTGGCCAAGCCGAATTGGATCCATCATTGCTTTCCAACAATCTCCGAATTAAGTCTTGCATATTTGTCCAACATATGGCCATGGGTCAAAATCCCGTACCCCCAGTGATCATCCCAATCCCCACTAAAATAGACTAAAATGGGTGGTGCACCCACCCCAAAATGGTATCATAGGTTTTGACCCACAGCAATATGTTATCCATTGTTCGACCCATTGTTTTCGCATGGTTGATTGTCCCGAGTCAAATCAGGTCTCCACGGACTTTCAATCACGATGCTTTGGTGAACTTTGGAAGAGCTCGCTTTTGAACGTGTTTGTTGTTGCTAGCTTAGGCGGCTGCGTCTTTTTTGTTGGGGGGTCCCCTTTTGATGGGTTTCAAAGGAAAACCAGAAGACACCAGCCATTTTTTGCGTGGTCCCTATTTTGCGACAAGCCCAAGTCCATTTGGACGCCTTGTGCGGTTTGCGTTTCCCCTTTGCTTTTACGGCGCACTGTCCTCTTGTTGGACCCCTTCAAACAATCTGGGCCTATTTTGGACTCAGCCGGAACGAGCTCCTTCAGTGAATCTCGGGTCCCCGGTTCCGTCACAGCCCGTCTTGGCAAACAAATCGTTTGGTTTCCTTGTGAGACGGGCGTATCAGTTTTAAGGGATCGTGCCCCCACCCCCCCAAAAAAACACACACACACACACACAGAAAGAAGTGTTCTACTTTCGGTGTTCCTTCAAAAAACACCAAACAAGGGTACACTCAAAAAAGACACACCCGCATATCAGCACCATTGTTGGTTGACATAACCACGGTTATGGCCTGCTTGAGTGATTTTGTTTGGTCCGTCCGCGCTGAAAATGAGCAGTACATCAGTCAGGTAACCCTTCATTGGTGGATCGGTGGTTGGGGATTTGAACCCCAGCTGCTTGCAGAGGGTAAATGGGAAGCCACCACCTAACCACCAAATCACCTCCGAACCACCAACCTCCCAACCTCCGAACCCCTCCCCCCTCGGTGAGCTCGCTATGCACAGGCAGATTAATACGCAGGGACGAACATCCAGGAACGGTTCTTCTGGGCCTTACAGTACCCTAATCAGATCACAGGGATGCTTTTGGTCAGCTGGCTGTGGGTCAAAGATATGTACCCAAAATGGCTTGCCCTGGCCAAATGGAAACATGGACTGCAACCTGCGGTCCCCTGGTTTCATTTTGACCCGCTGATCAAGTGCTGGGGCTCTTCTCCTCTCCAGGTGCACGTGGCTGCGCCTTTGAAGGCCAAGGCCGAAGCAGATCTGGAGGACGGCGGAATCGTTTCCGCCGAGTGAGCTGATTAATATGTTGAGTTGAAAGCGGCTGTTAGTTTTGTTTCCTCCTACAGACGGCGTTTTGTTGGCATGTGTTTAGCTTTTTGATGTTTTTGTTGGTTCTGTTCGTGTTTTAACTGTTGGTTCTGTTCGTGCTTTAGTGGGGAGCTGCAAAAAAAGTAGTGTGCTACCATACCAAGGGTTGGAAAGTCCTCCAGAACCATTTCGCATATTGGGGTACACCAAATATGAGGCAGAATCAGACGGTTTGTTGCTTAGGGGTACCCCTGATTTGCACCAAGTGTTGTGGGCTTGTGTTGCCGAGGGCGGGGAGGCGGGGGGAGGGGGTGGAAAGCCCATTGGGGTTGTTTCGAAAAGGATGTCTATTGTGGCCCCTTACAAGTGAACATACAGGGCTTGCCAGATATTACTCGCCTGTCTGCCCCTGGGATCTGAGTTGCTTCCCCTGGGCTTTGGTCCACATCTTTTTGAGGTTGTTCGATGAGTTGAAATCCATTGCTTCCCAAACTGCCTGGGAGCACTGGGCTTTGTTCTGATTTCCAGTTGGATCTTGTCTTGCTTGTTCCCAGCAGAGACTGAGAAATGGAATGACCCGTATAAACCATTCATCCTATGGTTTCCTTTAAGAGAAAGCCTGGGTTCATTCCCAAAACCCGGAACGGTCATTCCCTACCTATCGCACCAGCAAGTTGTAAGGGACCCTTCTCTTACCAACTTATCATGGCCTCACTGCCAAGTTGTTCGACCGGTTTAGCAGCTGAAACCTGGCCACACTTTTCTTCAGCTTGTCCAAAACGTGCTCGATTGGGTTAGCCAGAAAAATATGGTTTCAAACGAAGCCTAGGTTGAACTGCGGACCCCAGCCACGCACGCATCCAAGCCAGCAAATTTGCCAGTGTCTCCAAGGGCTGACCTTCCTTTGACATTGCTCTGAAGCACGAAATGCCTTCTCAAGCAAGACTTGCCAGAAACACCGCATTGGACCTGTCGGTTTCTTTCGAAGAGCCCAAAACCAAACACTTCAAAATAGACAAAAGCCGGAAATGGAAACATTTTTTGTTTTTTAAAAAGAGGATTTAGGTACTTGATGAGCTTGTGATGAGCCCACGTTGCTGGCTTCCTGAGGCGGGTTCTGGAAACGTGTGTTGGATGTTTGTGAATATGACCTCCCGTTTTATATGGGGGTAAATCGGTGTGTGTGTGTGTGCGTGACAGAGATTGCCCTATTTCAAGAGTTCTCCAAGGGTTAACGCTTGGGAACATCCATCAGAATCCTATACCGTTGCCCTCCACTCAAATGACGAACATGATGAAGACCAACGATTTCAATGTTAGGTTTATGTTTGCTTGTTGACAAAGTAGTGATCGTGTTGGCGTTGACCTGAGCTGGGCAACATATCATATATAGCAGTCTCCCCCAAAGGCTCAGGCTGAACACGGACCCAGTTCAGTGGCACCGTCGACCCAGTTCAGTGGCACCGTTGACTCGAAAAGGGATCCATGTCTGTTTCCAGGGTTCGGGTCGCAGGCAAAGTCAGCGGCCAAGGAAGAGGCCGGGGCGCTGGGACCGTGGCTATGGGAGGTGGGCTATTGAATCGAGCAAGCCTTCATAAGGCTTTATTCCGCTTTCACCTACTACACCCTCAATAAGGACTTGTGTGAAGGGCTTATCATTCAGGGATATGCCCGGCCCCGATTTTGGCGTAACCCGGTTGGCCACAAAACCTCAAGATACGGACCTCTCCAAGCAAGAACAGCTATCCAAGCACGAACACTTATATAAGCTGGGGCGTCCCTTCTTTGCGACCCAACAAAAAACACGGCGCGCCGAACGCCCCGGGGCTCGCGCGCCGCGCCAAATCGGAGGCGGCGCGGTTGGCCCTGGCGAAGGCCAAGGCCGCTGCCGCGGAGGGCCTCGAGGCCAAGGCGGCCGCCAAGGCCATGGAGGCGGCCAAGGCGGGGGGTTCTCGAATGACCCGCCAATGGGAGCTGTTGCTCGCTTTGAAGCGCGGCCCGGGCAGCCTTTTATGTCTGTTTGCCGAGGCTGTTTGCTGTTCGACATGGCAAGCCCCATGGGGCATGGTCTTCGCCCTTGTTTGGCTGGGCAAGATGCTCGGGCTGGCTTGCTGGCGCATTTGCACTATGGAGAATTGGCATGTGCGGGTTGATCAGTATTTCAGAAAGCACTAAACGTGGCCAAACTAACGCAGTCCATTTTGCAGCAAAATGCAGCATTGGGCGCGTCTGCAACGCATCGGCGGCGTGCGACGTGGGACGCATCACGCCACATCACGCCGCGCAGTACTCGCTACAATCGACGCAGCGCCGGCGCATGGCCGACTTATAACGTAGGACGCAGCACGGACGCAGCACCGACGCATCTCGCCGAATCTCGCCAAATTTTGCATAATCCTAGACCACATCTATTAGACCATGTTTAGCGTTTCCCTAGTATTCTTGGCTTTTCCCGTCCAGTGGTTGAAATATCAAATCATTTTGTAGGTTTCCAACTAACAATGGTTATCCCATGTTGATCGGACCTTTCGATCACCGCTCATATGTCCAATTTAGGGCAGTGTCTTTTTGGATGGCACCCTTTTTGGGGCAGTTTGTCTAGACCAAAAGGAAAACCACCAAATTTAGTGCTACCCTGTTTGGTTGGTTGGGGATGTTCTGAGGATCAGTAGTTCTAAGGGTACCTTCCCCATTCTTTCCAGGCATCCTTCTTTCTAAAAAACCATCTAAAATCCTTGGGAAACAGCTGGTTTTGAAAAGAACGATGGTTAAAAAGAATCGGGCCCTAGACTAGTGCATGGTTCATTTACTTCAGGTGGGAGAGGTGCGGAGAAACTCTCCAAACTTCCAACAAAAGCGAGCTCTAATTTTATGATTGCCAAAATCCCTAAATTCCTGAACTTGACACTTCTTGGGTTTGGACTCCATTCTAGTGGGTTTACAAGAAGAGTTTGGTTGCTTTCTTTGGCCAATCCACATCGGAAGTGATGTCCACTTGACTCCATGCCGTTCTTTTTTTTTCGGGTCCCCCCACAACTGGTGGTTTAAACCTTTTGGTTTCCCTTTTTGCCACCAATAAAAATGGGTCCAACAAAAAACAACTTTGCCTCCCTCCACCCAGTGCTTTCGCTTGTCGAGGCGAAGGCGCAGCAAAGCGCCGAGCTGCAGGCGAAGGCATCTGCCAAAGCCTCGGCGGAGGCGGCGGCGAAGGCGAGTTGTCGCGCCGCGTCGTGGCGTCGGGGCTGGGAGCGGCGTTTGGTGTCGGGCAAAGGGGGAGGCCTGGTTCCATGTTGCTGTTTTTGGGGGTTCCTTTGGGCTGGTGGGGGCTTTCCGTGTCTCAAGCTGCCATTTTGGGGTTTCTTGGGGTCACCAGTTGCAATTGTGGGGGGTTCCTTCGGCAGAAGGCGATTTTCCTTCAGGGAGCCCTGGTTCCAAATTTTCTTTGGGTTTTCCTTGGGTCTCAACCTGACTGAGGGGTGGAAGACGGTTTTCCTTGAAAGGGACCCCATGGAGGGTTCCATGCCAGGCCGGATACCACGACCCCCCAATGGATTTCTGTCAAATGGCACCATAGTCTTATAAGGGTCACTTGAACAATTCGGTTGCCATGGCTCCTGATATGGGGTAGGCCAAATGTGATAATCTGAAAAGATTGTCTTCTGTGTGCCGATGTGGGCCAATGCGTGTCCCTTTTTAGGGTTTTGGACATGTCGAATCCAACTTCCCTTTGGGTTCCTAACCGTTGTCAATTTCTATACCCGGGAGCAAAATGGGTGGGGTGGTCCTCCAAAAACTGTATCCTCGAGGTCGAGATGGGCAGTAACCCCAAGGGGTTGGGGGTTACCGGCGCACTAAAGGACGCGAACACCTGATAAGAATCAGGCCCCTTTTAAGGTGCTGAGCAAGTGAACCGCGCTTCGTTGACGACGGTTTCAGGACACTGAGATATTTGGAGCGTTTCTTAGGCGCACCGCATGTCCGCATGTGCTTGGCAGATATTGAGACCCCAGTGTCTCTTTCTTTCCGGAATTCCTCCGGACCTCAGATGCCATTCCCAAAAAGTCCATCAAGCCAGCGCCGTCTTCCGACTGACTTGAGTCCGGAGTGCAGCTAGATTCCCTTAAGAGAACGGGCACTGGGTGCTTGGCATTGTTCCAGAGGTCTTTTAAAATGTCCCTTGATGCCAGTAGCATGACTTGTTGGACTGAAGAGACGTGTGTTTTCCCTCTTGGTAGGGGTGATCAGGGAGCCCCGGGTGCAAGCTGTGCACAGCTAGCGCACTTACCTGCCAGTGAGGATGCGATTTGCTAGTGGGCCCAGCTGCACAGCCTTCGGAATTCCCCTGGATTTGGAAAAATGGTCGCCAGAGATTCATGTGTGGTGGGGTAAGCAGTGGTAAGCAGTACCTTCTGCGGGATCATGTAACATGCAGGCTTCCTTGTGGATCAACGTTTACGGACATAGACTTCTGAGCCTTCAAAACAAGCTTCGAAAGGAGGCTCCGAATGTTGAGACGCCTCCCAAGCGCATACAACTCCAAGTTTCCAAGGCTGTCTGCTTGCCTCCAATGTTGGTAGGGGAGAGCGGGGGAAAGGGTGCAGGCTTCATCCCCAGCGCTTGTGTTCGGAGAATTAGGATCTCGTCCTCCATTTGACGCGCATTACTTTCCATCTGAGGTCTTCTTGCTTTTTTCCGTCTCTTGCCCCAATGTGGTTCCGTTCCAATTCCCGCAAGTGTCATCAACCCCCGGGATTCGCCGTTTCTGCTTCACTGCCTTTCCCCCTGGCGGGGAATCTTGGAAGTTCCTTACCCCCATGGTTTTTTTTGGATGTTTGGAGGCATATGTGAGTCATACATGCTCATCAACAGAAGCCTAAATATAAATTGTCATCTTACTCGAGAACCTGCCAATCCTCAAACCATTATTTTCAATCCACAATCTTCATGTACCTTTTGCACTACACCTGTAGCCACGCGGGCGTGTGCTTGTAGTTGGACCTCTAAACTGGCTTCCTCTGCCTACAACAAAAGACACCAAAAGTGGATCTCACAAGAAGATACAGCCGTACCTGGAGTCTCCATGACCGCCAACAAATGGGGTCATTACCCAAAACAACGAGGGCATGGATCCATTCTTTGCAAGGTCATGGAGACTCCATGGTATGTCTGCGTTTTCCGGTAAAAAGCAAAAAAGCAAAAATACAACAAACAAAAAGGGGCCCCCCCTACAAAACGGCACGACCCAGGCCTTCCATCCCGCGTTTTCTCAGCGACGAGCCTCGAGCCTTGAGGCCAGCGCTTTGGCGGCCGCCCACGCCGCGGCGCAGCAGCAGGCGGAGGCGAAGGCCAAGCAGCTGGCGGAGGCGGCGGCGCGGCGGGAGGCGGCCCGGGCCCCCGGGAGCCCCTGGGAGGTTCCGGGGCTCGGCCCCCGGGGTCAACAGGCCATGGGTCGAAATCCAAATCGGTTAGCCGGTGAAGATCCCAATCCAACTAAAACAAGTTCTAAAAAAATGGGTGCACCTTAAATGGTACTCTTGGTTTTGACCCACAGCCAACAGACACCGCCACACCTTAAATGGGTCTGTGAGGGCTCCCTAGATTTCCAATTTTGTTTTGGGAGGGTTAATAAGATCACCCATGAAAGGTGAGTGTCCCTTTGTGGGCGGATGTGTTGAGGGGAATATAGAGAGCCCGGGTTGTGGCTTGCGATGTGGAACCTGACGCACCTAGGGGACCTGAGAAGTTCCGATGTTCGGTGGGAAAAAAGGCAAACAGTTGGGGAGGACAGAATTTGTGAGCAAATTGAGAGAGATTTGTTTGGGGGGGAGAGTTCCTGAGGGGAGAGAATTCGTTGGGAAAAGCGAAAATCCGAGTTTGGGGAGAGGACCTGGCAAGATGAGGTTCATTTGGATGCTGAACAAAAGAAGCGGCAATGGGCCGCATGAAAGGGATAAGACCTAAGAAGGGGGTGCCCCAATTTAATATTTGTTTCTTGAGTTGGTAGCCTTTTTCTGGGCCAACAGGAAACCACCATCTTCTGGTGTCCCCAAAAAATGGCACACCTATAACAGCGAGGAATGGCACCACTCCGTCCCGAGGCTGAGAAGGCCGAAGCCATGGTCACAGCTGGCGCCAAGGCGTAGCGAACTGAAGGCCTGGCTCAGTTTGGAGCGATGGATCCGAGATGATCCGAGGGAGCCGGGGTGCTCGGGACGTGTTCTTGGGCCCTTTTTCAATGAGGGCGCTAAAACGGTGGAGACAGCAAGACCCTGGGGCCAACTGAAAGTGTGTTTTTGTTTTGGGTGGTTTTCGTTCGAGAACCCTTTTGGGGAAAGCAGTCTCCGGTGAAAGTTGGCACAATTCCCTTTTGGGTGGGGATGACTCAGCCACAAAATGGGGTGGGGGGGTGGGGTGGGCGGGGAGTAATTTCGTGTCATCTACTCTTTCATAGAATCCTTTATGGCAGGTTGGGACTGCTTGATTCTCCCCCCTCCTCCGAAAAGAAAGAAATCATAAATAATTAACACAAAACACATCTTCAAACATAGGTTTGCAATGTTTTTGTGTTTTTTTTCAGGGGGTGGACATGAATTCCCATGGAAATGATGTCCAAAGGGTCCGTGATAGAAAAAAACATAGCCATTTGAAAATGGGCTTTCCGCTTTGCTCCGAAATGCGGGTTGCAACCTTTTCTGTGGGAACAAGCCGCACATCGGTCACTTTTCATCCGAGTCAAGTTGCCTTGGAGAGAACCTCTAGACGTCTCCCGGGTAATTTCTTCGAGTACACTCCCCCGGCCTGACCTGATCGATGTGTTGCTTTGCAATCACTCCCTGAGACAAACATGCTTTGAGAAGGCCTCTGTAAATGAAACCAAGTCTTCCGAAGGAGTCCTGGCAGCTTCCATATATGTGTCTGGGGCAGGGTAACCTTTGCTGTGAGGATTGTTGTGGTCGTTCTTCCGTGTTTTTTAGGGATCATCGCGGCAGTTGGGCCTATGCCCGAGGTCTTTCCCATATCCGAAGATCGTGAAGGAAGAAATCGTAGCTGACACGGGACCCGAGATTTCCGTTGGTGGTGTTAAACATCACCTTTGGGGCCCCTGTAAGGTGAGTTTCCTTTGGTAGGGGGTGACAAGTATTTGCAGGGAAATATAGGGAACCCTGTCTGATTTCCAAGCGCGCCTCCTGCTTCTTTCGCAGGCACTGACCGTCGTGATCTCAGACACTTTGACGAATGGCCCCGGATTTCCAGACTTGCCTGGTCTCTCTCCCGGACTCCCAGGGATACCCTCCTCTCTCTCTTTTCCGGGTCGAATTTTGTTCCTTTCAACATTGGCTACCCCGAAAAGGGGGTTCCTGTTTTCCCCTTTCAACCAGCAGATGCCAAACGAACTATGACTTGGTGGAGGTCCGAGCCTGGCCCAAATTTTAGCACCGAGATGGACCTTTAGCTGATGACAGTCATCCCAATTAAAGTCTGGAAGGTCAAGGGCTCATTGGTAAGCCGGCCTCCAAATGGGGAGGGAGTACGTTGATTAACAAGAGCCTTGTAAGTTTACTCACACAGATTCCCCTTAGCCGTCCGCTACTTCGGTCTCGTGATCAGCATGGTTTACATTGAGTTGTGCATGTATTGCGCGGGATTACGTTGACAAGGAGTTTTGGCCGTTGGAGATTGATTTGACAACATTGCCAGTCTTTGCCCTGGCGAGTTGCTAGATTCCGGATTCAAGAGTGCTGGGCTTACGTGTTTGCACGGGACAGGGTTGACAAGCATATTTGCTGAAGGAACAATTGATCACTGCTTCGTTTCAGCCAAGCTGGCTACAGTTGGGTGTCTAATTATGGCTCTAAAGAATGCACAGCACTTCGTAATAAGATAGTGTCGTAGCTCAATTGCACCGGTGCAAGTCTGTGTAGGAACAATGGACGGGAAGCGTAACACACGCACAAAAGAGACAATATGTGCATGTATATGTACAATATAGGTGTACCACGAACAAGAGTTCCCCTTTGCTTTTCACAGCTTGACCGGCTTACACAACGTCATTTTGACACCGGCAAGTCGCCAGCACATCCGCAACGGCAAGATCTGCCCATGGAGCATGGCAAGCAATCGCAAAGGGATTGATCTTGCTAGTGGGTTTCTGATGGTATCACACTGGTAGCAATGACAACAATGCAACAATAATAACAACAATAATGAGCGTAATATCAATATTGGTTCCGATTGCAAGTGATGGAAGCGATCACGATGGTGATGTTTTTGTTTTTTTTTCTTTTTTAACGATGATGATCATGATGATGATGATGAGGATGAGGAGGAGGAGGAGGATGGCAAGTGTTTTGGCAATAGTAGTGATATCGACAACCATGATAACGGTACTGACAATGACACTTGTGATGATAGTAGCATGCAGATGAGTTCACAGCTGGTGGGAATACAAGCCGAAAAGCTGTGTCTCTGTGAGCTTAGCCCGTTCAGCCTCTGCTCACGCAAGAAGCCTGTAGCCCAAAAAGGAATCTAGGGATAAAACCGTGGTTTTCTCCGTCCCCTCAGCATGCGCAAAAGCTCTTTGGCTCTTGAGCAACAACTCATATAATTTGTCAGCCACCCCTGGATCAATTTGAAAAGAAAGACAATGCCAGCCTGAACGCAATCGACAAACCTGTGACCTCTAGCTGCTAAGCTGCAATTGAAGATACAGACGCCACGAACACAACGCACATGTACAGTACTGTTGTACACCCATGTAACTATTGTATGCCTTGCTGGAATTTGCAACCTTTGCATATATCTACCTGTATATGTATGGGCCTAGGACGAGCTCACCCAGATGAAGGCCTTATACGGGTGGACCTTATTCCAAGTTGTGATGTATAGTACTTTGCACAGTTCTGTTCCACTGCGTTCGATGTCTGTGTGAGTGCCCAATTGTGCGTTTCCTTTTTGCATCATGGTACCCAAATGGACCAGCAGAGGGAATAGATCAATCCGCCAAGCCTGAAGGCTGGTTCTGGATCCGAACACTCATGGCAATGCTGTGTTCACTTGTAGTTGATGGCTGTCCTTCTTACATCTCCAGAAGTATTGATTTGTCGGTTGGATCTATTTTCGTTCGACCTTTCAAGATTCACTAAATGTGGACCGTTTCTTGTTGCGGGAGGCAGGTGAAAGGCTGAAGTAGACTTGAGGCATTTGCAAACCTGTCCCTTACGCCAAGAGATGTCTCCATCTCCAAGGGTGTCCCAGTTGAGTGTGAACCCGCAACAGCGCTATAAGCTTTTGGTGGGTTCCCACCCCCAAGGGTTCCACTTCGTGCATTTGTTTTTCTAGGGTCACTGATGGGCGCTCCAAAGTCGAAGAAAGATAAGCATAGGAGTTGGGTTCTCTTGGTGATCAACAGGTGGTAAATGAGATGGAACTTTGCGCCTGGCTCCAAACTGAGCTATATTCAATATACGCTCATACACGGTAGGGCCTTCTGCCCCAAGCCACGGAGCGGAGCAGCATTTGACAACCAAGGTGCTGGACACGCCGTGCCGGAAAAGAGATCTTGCGCGGGCAGCTTGTAAATATTGGCTTCAACAACTTTGTTGCGTCTGCAAATTGTTCCTAAAGGGTCTTGGAACCAATGCTTACGTCTTACTTGCCTGATGTGCTCCAGACTTCCCATGGCACGGCAATCTTACCGTGAAGTATCCATCAGACATGATCTTGTTTTTTATTCTCATGTTTCATGCGCAAACGATCGGTTGATCCGCCGGCATTTGCATCTCAAGTGGATCAGTTTCCAACGTAGTCCCATGCCAAGGCACGTGTCATGGCAACGCTTCGCTGCCGAGTCGATGTGAAACGAAGGGATTGGGTGTGCCGGGTTGTTTTTTTGTTTTAAGGGTCCTTTTTTTGGGTTGGGTAAAAGGGAAACAAGCCGTTTTTTGAGGGTCGCTTCTTTGGGTAAAAGGGAAACAAAGCGACTGGTTTAAAGGGTCTGTGTACCCCATTTACCTACCATAAAACTTGACCGGGTAAGCCCCACCCCACCCCCCGGAAGGTCAAACCTCAGATCAAACGGGTTCCGGGGGAGAAGGTGGCCTGCGGGAGAACGTAGTAGGTGGCCGCACTGCGGGATTGAGCATCCGGAAATCAGAAACATAATTTAGTGGGCCGGAATTGAGATATCACCTGATTTGTGCGCAGGAAAAATGCGCTGCCAAACGCAGCGCTAATCAGGGGTTGCCTCGGAGGCCCGCACCAGAGTTGGGACTTCTTCTTTGCTCTGCAAAAACGCTCCTTAGTACAGTAATCGGTGGTAATGACAACATGGAACCTGACAGGGGGTCCCTTTAAAAGGAGAATGGTCTTCCAGCACCCTCCTGTCAGGTTCCACCTTAATTGGTGGGAGGGTAATCCACTATGAGCATTAGGTCTTTCGACATGGTCGGAAGGCCTTGGGTGGGTTACCCTCAAAATCAACAAAAAGGAGGCCTGAGCAAATCCGCAAAACTAAACAGAGGTTGATGAATCCTGGTCAAAACGAACCAGCATGGCTTAAAACTACCCAGAGTTTTTTTAATCCTGAGGCACTAAGCAGAGAGGACAACTAGCTGAAAGCCCTCGCTCCCACAATTTGCCCCGTGCAAGGCCCCTTCTGGGACTTCGGCTGGGTAAGGAGCGATGGCTTGGCCATTGCTTCTATTTGCACCTGGGCGAAGAAGTGCTGAGCGATTCTTTCCCCACAACAAACAAAGCTTGTGTAACTTGTTTTTGGGCCGGGGGGGGGCTTTTAACCCTCAGAAATCAACTCATACTCTTGCTGAGCAAAAAGAACATTTCGCACCACTTGGGATAGATGAAGCCTTATAAACAGTGGGAAAAAAACATCTACCAGCCGGTGCAGGAGATTGTCCAAGTTGTTGCTTGTTTTGAAGACTCATAAATTGGAATTGGGAGTCCTCTCACCCAGGTGGGATATGGATCAGCTGATTTGTAAGCCGGTCGTAGCGTTTTTGTCTTCTTTAGTCCACCAACAGGACTTTTCATCCCCTGGCATCTGAACCAGGTGTTTGGGGGGTTAAGCCCCGCCCTGCACCCTTCCGAATTGTGTGGAGAAATTGTTTAGCTTTGCCAACTTGAACCTTGGTCATTTGGTTGGATCTTTCACGTTTACTTGTTGGAAACATGTGTGTGTGTGTGTGTTTCCCACGAACCAGGAAAGGGTTAAACATTTGCCAGTTATGCTGCCGACCAATTGCATGCCGACCAATTGCATGCGGGAAGCAAAGTTGTTCTTTTCTGGAACAGAGGGCAGTAGCCACGCAGGAGAACAATGATTTGGTAAGGCCTCCTGTCCACTTCCATGATTGTGGGAAAGAGGGTAAGGCATCAAGTTGGGCGCCAGAAGGCTACAGCTGGCCAAACATCAGCCACAGTGCCTGGTTTCCCTTCCTGTTGCTGTTTCTGCGCTGCTTTCGCTTCCCCACATTTTCCCTTGGCCGATGTCATGTTGGCGGAAACGGAGCGTTGGGGACTCTTTCTGTGATACAGTGCCAGGGAATCACCTTAGTGACAACGTATCCAAGGTAATAGCCTTGTTTTTTTCTCTTTTTTATGAAAGCGTTTGGGTTTTTTGTTTGCCATGGCTGACGTTGTTTCAGGCGACCTTTTCTGTGGCATTTTCCTCCAACCTCCGGCATCGACGAGGAAGCCTTGCACCTTGACGCAATTGCATGGCTCACCGATCAGACCTTTGTGGTTAACTGGTTTCTGAGTCGCTTGCATTTCCCCGGGTTTCTGAAGTTTACTTCTGGGTGGGGTTCCCTTTAACGAGCCGTTTCGACGGTAATTTGGAGGACACCAAGCTCCCATTGTTCCTTCTGATGGAGCGGTTTCCCGTTAGAACCAAGTGGTCTGGGTTCCAAGCCAAGTCGATTTTGACACATTAGCAACCGTTCGATTTGTTTTACCATGTACGGAACTGTGTTGCACAACATGCAACGGAATCCAGAAGGGAGGGGGGCGCAAAAGGGGATTCCTCTAAAACAGAGGTGGGTTATGGGCTGCATGTTATTCTGGGGAGTCATGCCAGTGGTGCCTCAGTTAGTCCATGGACATGATCACAAGTCCGCTCACCAAACGACTATTAAGGACAGAAGGAGGATTTTAAAAACCTGGTAACGACTTTCTGACTTTAACTTGCTACTCAACCAAAGTTGAATTGCTTGATACCCATCATGCACTAGCACTGCAGCATAACAAACCACCTGTTCGACGTGCTGGTAGCAGTGCTGGTGCAACGTGAATCAGGGTGAAATGTGCCTCACCTTGCTTTTTCAGCCTTCTTCATGCAAATCCGGGCAAATTCTAGCAACTGGGGTGTGTGTGTGTGTGTGACCTAAATTGCCCATGAAGCTTCCTTACATACAGCTCTATTTTGATGATTGGTGACTCTCACCCACCCCAATTCTTTGGACTTCGAGTTGCACGCTGACCGCATCGGCTCGCTCTCTGCGAGATCTCAAATTTTCCAAGATTCTGTGTGAGCACGGCTTTCTCTTGAGCTTGGTGTTTGCAGCTAGGACATGGTCTTGAACCTCAAATCAAATTCAGACAGTGTGTGTGTGTGTGTGCGCGGGTGCTTGTTTGTAATGTGAGCCCAGGACGAATCACTCCCTGGATGGTGAACGATGGGAAGCTTTGCTTTGTGCGGACATATCAAGTCATTTACACAGTTGATATTTCCGGAGTCAACATGAACACCTTTGAACAACAGGACATTTCTTCCCTTTGGACCTGTTAAGAGCCTGGCTGAAGTACTACATATATTCTATCCGGAAAACCAACCCCCAATATCCAATATCAAAGGAGTCGTGCTTTTGAGGACACATCAGAGGCACGGGCGCATGCTTACATTTCGACCTTTTGCCAAACATGGAGCCGCTCACCAAGACTTAGGAAGCTTTGGAGCTGAGGAAGAAGCACAAGCTTGCAATGTCGATGCACACACCATTGCTTTTGGTTAGGGGAAGCGATTGGACAAACTTGTTTTGGCCGGGGGGTGGTCGAAGAATCCCAAATAGCACCTACACGAGTTGATCTTTGGAAGGCTTCGTGACCCTGCGGTGGTCTCAGAGTTGGGGGCTCTCAAAACGGTTGGTTCCCCATTGGTTTCCGTTCAAGTCAAGCCAAGAAGGCATTCCGCCACCCCAAAGAAGAGAGATCTCCCACACCGGACCGCGGCTCCGGACCATTCTCAGCTCGGAGGTCTCGCATGCTGCTCACCCCCACCGGAACAACCACATCCACCGCTCTGAGCTGCTCGGGACTGCAGGATTGGGTTGTGGGCCAACCTCAGCAGCCAGCATTGGGCAAAAACGTGTTTGAAGCAACTATGCCTGGATCAGCAACTATCCATAACCGGGATGGGCAAAACGCATAGACACATTCATGAACCACTTGAAGGGACATTGAGTTTAGACCGGCAAGGATCCAATGGCATTCTTTTTTTGAGGCTTTCGTGCATGAGCAACGCGAAAACAGGATGGTCATTTTAGGCACCATAATTGTTGGTTTCCAAGCACCAGCCAATTGGCCAAATGTGTGGGGCCAGATGTGTAGTTGTTTTTTGTTGGACAGCTCAATATGGCCATGAATTTTGACAGGGAACCACCTCAAAAGTGGTTGGTGGACATAAATCCCCTCCTAAACGATGTCCACCACAGGGCCCCTACTTAAAATTCAGGCCCAAATGGCATCAACGAGCTCTTGCACGAGCTCTTGCATGTGCAAAACGTGATCTTTCGTCCCTTTCGGCAGTTTTTTGCCAATTGGTTGCAGCTTTGTTTCTCAAGCGCGTCAGATCCGTACCGCCAGGCTGGCAAATGGTTAAGCCCTTGGCTGATTTTCATTTGGGGGGGTATCCCATCCTTTGCCTTTGGAAGAAGCACCCTCTCTGGATCTAGTTTTGGTGTTTAGTCTAGGTCTTGGCTAAATGTCGCTTCCATCCATTGGTGAAAGCATCGAGTACGAGGCTGCTGCATAGAAAGCAGCGTCACAGCACCAAAGGTGCGGCAAGGGTAACTCGCGGATGCACTCGTACATGAGCTTTTGAATGGCTTCCAGCCATCCCCTCAAGTTTTTGGGCTTTTTGGGTTTAGTGGTAGGGTTTCCACTTAACCCACAAATTCGTCAGTTTTAGCATGGGATCAGAAAAAGGACAACCCAGGCTTAGAACAGTTCATTTTGCTTGCTGGTGCTCAGTAGGGAATGACCTGCCGGGTGTTGGGAATGAACCGGAAGGGGTGGATGGTTGTTTTTGTTCAGGGTCATTCCATTTCTCATTCCCTGCATGGAGAACCAGCATGATAATGTTGACCCAGGATTAATAAACCCTTTCCATTGTTGGGGGGTGTTCCCTCGAAAAGTGACGAATCCCCACTAACAGGGGCCACCCCCCCATTAAGGTTTATTAATCTGGGGTTAACATTAAGTTCGAAGAGCTCTCTTTTGAGACTCCCCAGTTGTTTGACGCTGAGGCCTTCCAACGAAGTGCACCTTCTCAGATCCAGTAACTTGGCCAGCTGGAGCGCTTGCGCTTGCTCAATGCATGTCGGGGCTCATGGTTCC